GAAGAGGCAAAATGTTCTTACGATATAACGACTAAATAAAAAATATCTCCAAAGGAAAGATAGAAACTAAAAGAGGTACAATAAACTATTATATGTGGCAAATAAAGAAAGGCTCAGGGTTCAAGTCGTATAGAGAGTTAATTTTATACCCCCTATCGGACCTTAACTCAGGTATCAAGTATTTAATGGGTGATAAGGGTATGGTAACCCCGCCCGCGCTATCGGTATAGACTGGCGGGGCACCTGTTATAGGTGACGATGAAAGTCAGTTAGCTCATCGTGACAAACTCTACTAGAATTAACCACGGCCGTTTCCAGGGGGAACCGCGTGGAGGTCGATCTGATAGGGTGTATTGCCAGCAATGGGTCAGTTAGACCTCATGACTAACAATCCCTTTCCCCTCAGGTATCAAGTATTAGGATAAAAATCAGATACTATTTACCTGTCCTACCTAAACGCGTCTCGTTAAGCCGCAATAGTGTATTTAAGATATTGGTATAAAGAGATTAAGAATATGAGATGGAATGAAGTCGGTTGGAGAAGGATGCACAAGTCAGTTGCCCCGACAAGAGGAAGCTCTTAAAAGATAAAAGTATTCTGCTAGCAAACTAAAGCATTAATCATCCAATAATATACTTATTAAGCTGTCAACGAAAATATAGATTTTAAAGGTAAAAATGTTTTTGAAAAATTCCGAAAAGTATGAAGTAGATGTAATGTTTTTGGCGGTAGATTTATATTCAATGATAATTTATTACATTTTACAATTTAAACATTTTATTTTGCTACCTGAAAATACTTTTTAAATAATTAATCAGAAACATTCATAATTGTTTTATTGTTATTGAAAATTAACAGACAAATCGAAAGGTCGTCATGCTTAGGTGAGTGAAAATATAAATGCTCTTAATATAAAATATAAAGTTATATATTTATAATATTTAAAAAATATATGCAAGCAACTAATATTTTGCAGGCTAAATGGATTATAAAAGGAGTATTTTAGTCCACAATGGACGACGTTGTTGGTGTGTTAAAGCGTTTATATATTACCACTGGGGCTTTACACGTGTTAATAAAATGTAATGACTATTTGAACATGTAAAATTTGTGCTGTAAACCTAAACGCTCGCATATAATTTTTACGTAGAGTATTATATGTACATATATACATATATATACAGGAATATTAACAAACTAAATCTTCTAGGGAAATTAAAAATATAAACTTAATATTAAAAATAAAAGCGTGAACTACAAATTTGTAATAAAGGAAGTTCATTAATAAAGTAGTATTTTTTAAATAGAAGTACTAATAGTATATCGTGGTTTTATCCTTGCAAAATAGTATATATGTATGTATGTATTAATACATAGAGTACTTTATATTAAAGTACTCTATGTATTAATTTAGGAAATGAACTATGTTTTATACCAAATTTCAGTCAATTTCGTTCAATCGTTTGTGATTGTATAACATCTAAAGTCACATTTATAATATTAGTAGTATAAAATATAATCTTTTTTAATTAAATAAATGTTAATTCATCAGAATTGGCACCGTCCGTGCCATATCTAGTTACGTTAGGTCTATGTAGTGACCTTTGACACGGCCGACTAATGTCTAATGGATCCAATAAGAACAAGCCCAGCATACCATTGACTTCGTATCACTTTACTAAGCAAACATCACCAGATGGGGTAGAGACGAAACTGTTAATTGACAACCAAAACATGATTGAGCCTTGATAGAAAAAGAGATTGATTAAGTAAATTCAATCTGTGACTTTGTAGTGATTGAGGAGAAAAAAAAGCTGTATACGCTTTTTGGAGACGCAAGATTTTATACCTTATGTTTCGTATTTAAAAACGATTAGTAAACTAGTGTTAATAATAAAATTAATTAGGATCTATAATTAATCTTGCGGAAGTCTATATCACTGGTCTTTTTATGGATGAAAATGGTATGGTAACCCCGCCTGCGCTAACGGGATCCGCTGGCGGAGCACCAGCGAAGGGTGATAGATGAGAATGAAAACAGGCCAGTTAGCCCATCATGATGAATTCATCAGGAATTAACCATGATAGTTTCCAGGGGGATCCGCGAGGAGGTCAATCTGGTTGGGTATATTGCTAGCAATGGGATTCTCAGTCTCCATTACTAACAATCCCTTTCCCCCCAAAATAGAAGGTCGTGGAACTTAAAGTTATAATTGTCTGTCAAATAATACACAAAAATTTGCGTCAAACCAAGAATGTATACTTTTTAAAGTCGGTTAAAAAGTAACTGCATCTGGTCATACAAAGTTTATTCATTAGCCAAATCGAAGGAGTTGAGGATGGTGAGAGGCCACAGAGAGGCCGAATTGCAAAGGCTTAGAACCGAGCGTCGAGTTTGCATTCGTGTCAAGGATTTTGTGGCTATTTGTAAGAAGACACAGTGTGACAGTTTGGTGTGTAATCTTTTGTATTTATGTACATTGTTCTCTTGTATGTGTCGATGGGCGTATACGGTCTATGAAAAAATATTAAATAAACGATGTGAATGCAATAAAACTTAACATTTTATGATGATAATTAGAATGGCAAACTTCCCAAATAGGGTTGACGTCAGGCACGCGACCGGTCGTAAAACTATAAGCCAAATCTTTTTGTAATATGGATAAAAACATATTACGCCGACCTCAAATAATAATTGGGATAAGGGTAGGAAGATGATGATGAATTAAAATGGCAAACAGACTGACGGCCAAACTGATGGAAAGTAGTAACCGTAGCCTATAGACATATACATGTCCATGCACCGTGGACATGAGAGACTACACTATTATGCCCTTGCTGCCATTTTTGAGGACTATGATATTATGCCTCCGTACTCTATAATTTTACAGCCATATCCCAGCCTTTAAATCGAAACAGCCATGCAAGTACAGTTGCTTCACAGCAGAAACACTAGTGGGACCAAGGGACACATGCAGACGAATTTTGTACAAAGTTTCTCTCTGGTAAGATAGGATGAGATTCTTAATACTCATTTTTTCTTCTTTTTTTTACCAGCTTTTATTTACTCGCGTTTTATAAAGGATAAGAAGTAACCTATATCTTTCTTTATTCCATACAGTAGGTATGTGGACACCAAATTTCATACTGATTCATAGTGATTAGAAGAATTACATTATGGCTTGATCAAAAAAGTATATTATTCTTTATTTAATAACTATTTAATAATTTTCACGATTCCGGATAATTTTTTTTATATAATCTTTCATTCATTATTTATAACAATTTATTATTATTTTTCAAGTAAAACTAAAAACAATTTCTCTTTAGTTTTTTTTTTTTGTTAACATATCGAAAGGGTTTATTCTTGTATTGGATTCATGCTAATTTTGCGAAGATTGGTGGAAGATGAAAAAAGGATTTTTTTTTTATATATTATAGAAAGGGTTGGTTCCTGTTAATTTAAGCTAATTTTCCGAAGATTGGTGAAAAATCAAAAAAAAAGGAAAAAATATTTCTTTGACTTATAACATGTCGTTGATGGAATATTAAATGTTTTTGTGGCCATTAAAGTTTGCGTTGCGGGCATCGGCTGCTCGTAACGGAGTTAATGGGTGTACTAATGAGCGTATAGTACTCGCCGATTTCGAGGCCTCGCCACAGCATAATAAATATAAAGATCAAATAGCATGGAAACCATTAATTTTATTCAAAAGTCTGTATGTGAATGAGTTACGTATGCGCCGACAATGGATTCCAGTGTAAGAAAAAAAAATACTTAATTTCTGAAATACTAAATTATCAACTGTAAAATGGTAGTTGTACGTTTAAAATAATATTTAAGCCTCACTATAACATTGCGGTGTGGTCCCGGCATAGAATGGGCCACCCCTTTCTTTCGAGTGGGTGTCGTAATAGACGACTAAAGGAATTTAATGTTAGAGGGTCGGACAACAGCGTCCCTTTTTAAACATCACCAAAGCCTAATTGTGGTTATCAGCTCAGCTGCCAAGTTTTTTTTTTATACAACTTAGAATGGAAAACAAGCTGACGGCCCACCTGATGGAAAGTGGTAACCGTCGCCGATAACCATCGACATAACAGAGTATACTGTTTCGCCCATGATACCCTCCATGCGTTGTCATTCCTGAGGACTCAGGTGTTATTCCTCCGTACCTAGTAAATTCATGCCATATTCCATCCTTCAGACCGAAACACAGCCATGCAAACACAACTGCTTCACGGTTGAAACACGAATGGGACAGAGGTACCATAGTACGTACGTAGTAAGTGTGGCAACTACTGGCAAAATCATTCTTTATGTGGAGGAGTGAACAGCAGTGATCAGTTAATGACTTTTTAGTGGAACCTAGGTCAATAATTTCAAATATATACGAATGCAGGATAAAGGTTATAAAATACTGATTCTCTCCTAGATCAGTATTCTATTTTCAGGAAATAAGAAATAAGTATTGTAAAATGATTAATCGATTTTACAATAATTTTACAATTGGTGACCATGAATTTGTATTATTTAATCATTGCTGTCAATATCTGAACTTTAGCAACATGGATTTTAATTATTTTATATATCAATTAACTTTATGGACACTCACTATTATATATGGTTTCTTTCATACATGTGCTTATATTACTTGCATACACCCACTCTAACTTGCCTACCTCGCTTTGGAATCATAATTTTTGTTTGTATAAATAAAATTCGTTATTGGCTGTATTCATAAGAGATTTAGCGTGTAAGTTATTTTTTAAGAGCTGTGCATTTTTGTATAAAATAAAATGAAAAAAAATAAAATAAAAAAATACAAACAATTCATTTAGTTGAGTTATTGTCTGATCAATTGACTGATTGATCGATTCGATCGATTAATTAACTAAATAATTGGTTAACTTATTGGTTTAATGATTGATTGATCAAAAGATTGACAGTCTAATTGATTGGTTAATTATTCCATGGAAGCGAAAACCCAAAACTCACCTAATAACCATATCGAAGACATCTTCCTTATCGAACACCTTGCAGTACAGGTGAAATATTTTCAGACAGGTGTAACGCAGACCATTCCAGTTGACATCCGCCGATTTGAGGGCATCCGACCAGGGGCAATTTTCGTGTCTCGACAGACACAGCATGCCTTCTCGACTCTGTTCCGGAGGCATTTAAATATTTGATTGAAACGTTTGCGTTTACTTTCAGCGTTTCAATATCATAACACTTTTACACACTACAATGTAACTGGTAATATCACATTTATCACTTTATACATTTATTTATCACAAATAGGTTTAATTGTTTATTAAATTTTCAAAATGGAATAATCCGTTCGCGCCGTAATCAAATGGAAACTGCGAATAGTTCAATCTAGGTACAAAATATTATTTATTAATTAAAATGCGGAATATTTTTATTGCTGTTAAATTTCTGAAATGTTTGTTAATATTCATGAAGGTCAAAAATTTTTTGGTAATACATACGATTAAAGTTGGCAACTTTAAACATATACCATATATTACCATATTTGCTAGTGCTTGCAAATAAGCAAATTTACCCCAAATTGAAGAATTTATAAGATGTAAGAACGAGTTTGGTGTGACTACTGGCATTAACTCATATAACAGATGTACTTTTTAAATATCTAATTTTAGATATACATTTAATGATAATGGAAAATTTCTAAATTTATTTCTAATACACTAATACACTTCGTATCGCTGCGATAATGCGCTAATGCGAAGTGCATTAGTGTATTAAAATGCGTTTGACTATCTACACTATATTCTATACTACATTGTAAAAATGTACTATTTTACAACACTATCTATACTGGGGGGAAAGGGATTGTTAGCAATGGAGATTGACAGCCGTATTGTTAGCAATATACCCTATTAGGTCGACCTCCACGTGGTTCCCCCTGGAAACCATCGTGAACAATTCTTATTGAATTCGTCACGATGGGCTAACTGATCTGTTTCATCCTCACCTATCATCCTTCACTGGTGCCCCGCCGGTGTATACCGATAGCGCGTGTGGGGTTACTATTCCATTATCACCCATTAAAAAAAAAACCTATCTATACTATTGGAATAAATACTGGTTTATACCGTTATTGTTATATAATAATTCTAAAGGGATATACTATTCAAAAGGGCCTAAATTTAAGTTTATACGAAATACAGAAACCAATTTATTACTTTACTTATGTTTTATGCAAATAAATTAAAGATTGATTAATACTTACTTAATTGTATTACTCAAATTACGATAGTGAAATTTGGGAAATATAATCCTAAAATAGATATTAACAAGAAACTTGACGTTCTCAAAGAAAGAGGAGATAACAATTTTATAAAACAACTATACCAATTGCATGTTACGATACTACATAATGAGTGTAAAGTTAAATTAAACTGTATTAATCGTTTGTAGACCAATTAGTCGAATCAAAACAAACGCAGGAAACATGTAACTGTCCAATGAGAGTGGACAGTCTTGGTACACACGACCGCAGTAGGAAGTCCTAATTTAAACAATCGTTCGTAACTATTGTCTTTGTTCTAAACATACTGGGTCTCTTATCTGGCTTAAAAGCAAAGTTGAAAGTATTTTACAATAATAAGTGATTAGTAAGTAGTAACGCGTTTTATGTTTCAAGTTATTTCTATAAATGTACGAGAAGATAATAAAATACTTATACTACTATCGCTTTCGTACCTTTGACGTAATATTAGATTTAAAAATTGTGTCAAAAGTTAAATCGATTTCAATTGTGACAAAACTGAACCGATTTTGATAAAATTTCTATGAGACTAATCTGTAAGTTTTTTTATACAACTTAGAATGGCAAACAAGCTGACGGCCCACCTGATGGAAAGTGGTAATCGTCGCCTATAGACGTGAGCAGTACCATTGATATAACAGAGTATACTGTTTCGCCCATGATACCCCCCATACGTTGCCATTCCTTAGAACTCAGGTGTTATTCTTTTTTTTTATACAACCTAGATAGCAAACAAGCTGACGGCCCACTTGATGGAAAGTGGTAACCGTCGCCTATAGATATAAGCAGTACCATGGATACCCTGTAAATTCACGCCATATCCCACCCTTCAAATCAAAACACAGTCAAGCAAACACAACTGCTTTACGGTAGAAACCAATGGGACAGAGGTACCCAAGCAAACGACTTTTGTACAAAGTCTCCCTCTGGTGAATAATCCTATCAGACAAAAACAGAACTTTCTAAATCGGTTTATACACTGGCGGGGCACTATAAAAAGGCTGGTCACTTAGCTCACCGCGCGTGACGAATACACTCTGAAATCAGTACGATCGTTTCCAGGGAGGACTAGGTGGAGGTACACCTAACTAGCTAGGGTATATTGCTAGCAATAGGACTGGTAGTCCGCATTACTAACAACTCCCCCCCCCCTGTTTTATTTGTAATTATTAGGACAAACTCTGTATGAAAGAAAATGTTTTAAAAATGGTACGGATAAAGTACACCCGTGCGAAGCAGAGACGGGCAGCTAAAGCGTAAATAAAGATAAATGTGGTGCAGTTGTTAATCACACATGATGGATACACCATTCATCAAAACCAATAAGCCGATTTCACTCTACGAGTGGCTAAAAATCTCACATACATTATATTGATGAACTAAAGTAAAAATCTACGCAGTGGTGTTTATTTTTAGTCGATTGTAAAAAGACAAAATGGTTTAACTGTATTTTTTTTTTATTGTTACATGTTAATAGATCTTGATGATTGTTTTTTAATTGCAAAGGTTTCAATTCCATATTGGTTTCATAGTATGAATGAATAAGTATACTTTATTTGCATTATACAATATAGGGAATAAGCAAGACAATTGATAAATGTAACGATACAGTTGTATAAGTACAGTAAGGCGGTCTTGTTGCTGAGAGCAATGTTTTAAAGACAACCTTAGGGTAATGGACTAATTGTTGTACAAGTAGGCATGATAATTAGATATAATTAAGAAAGTAAAACGTAGTATAATATATAGTCATATTGTTCAGATTGAAGTCGGTTTGTTGTAAATAAATAAATAAAGTAAATAAATTATTTGTCTTTCTGTCTTTCTTTAAATATTTTTTTTAAATGCTTAAATATTTGTTACTTCATCATGCTTAAATGGCTTATTACATTTTAATAAAATTAATTACACAAGTAGACTACAATCAAAATAATAGATTCTTACAGTAAATTTAGAGGTAAATGTAGCATATTTTTTATACCGATTCACGTTACCATGTCACAAATAGTAACTACTGGGGAAAAGGGATTGTTAAGGGTCTAATGAATCCATTGCTAGCAATACACCCTATCAGGTCGACCTCCGTGCGGTTCCCCCTGGAAACCATTGTGGTTAATTCTAGTGGAATTCGTCACGATGGGCTAACTGACTGCTTTCATCGTCACATATCATCCCTCACTGGTGCCCCGCCAGCGTATACGGATAGCGCAGGTGGGGTTACCATTTCATTATCACCCATTAAAAAACTTGTAACTACTATATTTAGGTACTTAATTAAATCCAAATAAGATGAGTCAGTATGCAGTGAGTGACATAAATAAGCTTGTTATCGCCAAATTAACTAGGTAGTTTTATATTTAAACGATACGTGAATTGCCACATTTGGTAAGTAGCTGGTAAATTATGTGCATTACGTGAATTGCTTATGTTATCGACGTATGTATTTAACATACGGGTATGACTTTGTAAAATAAAGTAATATTCACATATAGAGAAAGAATTTATAATTTTGTTGCAAAACAAACATCGACTTTAGTCATGGCTATAACCAGCGGGTCTACCATGAAATGAAATTCCGAATTTTCGTATTTAATTTCTTGTTTTTGTTTATACCAAAATCGGACCAATAAATGGAGTTTAACATTTTGTTCGTCATACATTCTATCATAAAAGTCCAAAGGTACGATATTTTTTAACATTTTTAATAAAAATACAACCGAATTGAGGACTATTTTTTCTAAAGTCGTTTCAAAATGGGAATAGATCGGAAAGATATGCGAATCGAGAGTACTTGAATCCAATATTACTGATCCAGTCACAAGACGTCCAAATACAGTTGAAGCATGTAGACCGTTGACGTTGGTAACCTTTATAAACCTCATACATAGATATAACAAGCTCTTTATTTGGCACGTGGTACGAATTTGATTGTACGATAACCGTGAGAAGCAAACTACGGTGACATGTCTCAAATTATTTTATGTATTACATCAAAAGCTGGGCGATTACCTTATGTTAAATGTATATTGACAGTTGGACAAACATTAGCTCAATTTGGTATATATGTTGATATTCTTCATGTCCACTGTTATTTTCTTTTTTATATAACTTAAAATGGCAAACAAGCTGACGGCTCACCTGATGGAAAGTGGTAACCGTCGCCTATAGACATGCGCAGTACCATGGACAAAACAGTGTATACTGTTTCGCCCATGATACCTCCCATGCGTTGCCATTCCTGAGGACTCAGGTGTTATTCCTCTGTACCCAGTAAATTCACGCCATATCCCACCCTTCAAACCGAAACATAGTCATGCAAACTCAACTGCTTCACGGTTACACACATATATGTATATTAACTAAATATGTTATTACAATTATGCGACTTTTAAATAGGAGGCGGACTCAAAATTTATATGTATTTTTTATAGTTATATTACAAAACTTATATACAACAATGAACTGGTTTTGATAAATTTCCAAATTTCTTTAAATTGTTTATTTTAAATAGGTTTACTTACTCTTGCATTGGATTCATATTAATTTTGATATGATGATGGAAACTGCCGTTTACTTGTAAAATATAAAACTGCTTGTTATGCTGCAAAATCAGCTTGAAGATACATTAAACTAACTAACGTTGGCATTCTAAATGAAAATATTCTTAATTTAAATTTTAAATATTTTCTTTTTTCTTGAATAAAATAGTAAACTAATATCGCCCTCGTATAAGGAGTAGGTGTTTAACCAGTGCGTGATACCAGTTATGACTTACAGAACCGAAACATGAAAACGATTGCCCGTATGCAAAAGCTTCGAGTTACTCAGCGGGCTATGGACAGGGCTTTTTTTTTGATGGGTGAAAATGGTATGATAACCCCGCCTGCGCTGACGGATTACGCTGGCGGAGCACCAGTGAAGGGTGATAGATGAGAATGAAAACAGGTCAGTTGGCCCATCATGATGAATTCATCAGGAATTAACGATGATAGTTTCTAGGGAGAACCGCAAGGAGGTCGACCTGGTTGGGTATATTGCTAGCAATGGGATTCTCAGTCTCCATTACTAACAATCCCTTTCCCCC